CCTAAAACCCCTAAACCCTATAAGCCCCGAAGCTTCCCCGGGGATTTCGTGCGCTGAGGGAGGCCTCGGACTTCCGGGCGCCGGCTCTCCGCCTCTGAGCACTCGGACCCTTGAGGCGATCCTCTATTTTAGGGCTTTAAGTTTAGGGATGTTTAGGGTTTAGGGTTTAGGGATGTTTAGGGCTTTAGGGTTTAGGGTTTGGGGTTTAGGGTTTGGGGATGTTTAGGGTTTAGGGTACAGGGTTTAGGGTTTGGGGCCCAATATACAAACCCGTCAAGTATCACCTGTCTGACTCATCGGCTTCTCGGTGTTCCCTTATCACCCACCCCAACAACATGAAACTTCCTACTATAATCTAGGATATTGTAGTATAAAGCATAGGTTATGTCTTAGAATGTCTGAAACTCTGAAACGGTTCTGAAAGAAACTTCCCGAGACATGCAAAACAGACTCGCCTTTGAGGCAGTGCCCCAGCCTCTGCATCAACGACTGCACGTGGAAAAGAAATACTTAGTGACTTCCTGGCTGAATCCTATTTCTGCCTCTTCCAGCTGGACGGTGGCTTTGGTCTGCTAAAAGTAGCTATGTTCTGTATTTATAGATGCGAAAGAAAAATATCGCCACTCACACTTCTCACGGCGAGGTGGATGTGCGCATGAGCGGCTCGAAAATGGACTAACTGGACAGTATTCAAAGGCTGTCCCGCAGGCCGGAGCAGCCGTTCTCCTGCAGCTTCACCCAGGCCGTAGTGAAATCTGCGAAGTAGGCATCCTGATCGGCCGCATACTTCTCGACATGCTCCTTGAAGGCGGGATCCTTGAGCAGGGCCAGGTCGGAGATGAGCATGATGGTGCCGCTCTCGCTCTTGAACTGAGGGTTGCCCTTTTCCGTCTTGTCGTCAGTCCACTCCTTTGCCATCATGTCCTTGAAGTAGCTGTTGTCGAACTTCAACGGTGCCTCCGTCCAAGGGCCGTCAAAGCCGGAGCGATCCAAGTGGCACTTTCCGACGGTGTGCGCACCCGACAGGGCCACGATGTCCTTGTCGCTGAAGCCCTTTGGGGCGAAGATCTCCCGAAGGTGATCAATCTCCTTGTCGCCGTCCGGGAGGCGGCCCACCTGGGATTCCACGGAGTCGGCGGAGGATTCGGCATCCTTGCGGCCGAAGCGAGTCTTGATGTCCGGGCCTCCCATCACCTTGATCGCTACATTGGCAGCCAAGGTCCAAAGGTCTGCATGTCCGATGGTGTCCGGTACGTACTTCTCGGTGATGGGCTTCAGCAGGCCAAGAGCAACATCCGGAAGCCCTGCATTGGCGCCGAAGGTGCCCTCTCCGTCGTCGGTGAATCGCATGGCGGCATTCGGGCAGCCACCCTTCAGTTTGCCATCCGAGAACACGCCGGCATCGTGCCACGACAGACGCACCAGGATCGGTCCACACTCCTTCTCCTTGACGAGGGTCTCCAGGTCCTTCACAAGAGCGTCATAGCTCTCGCCACCACGAGCGGCCATGGACACCAGGTTCTTCTTGCCACCACGGGGCTTGACGGAGAGGCTGAGCGCCGCGCTGGCCACCAAGCCTGCGCCCACCAGGCCCGTCACACCGGCGACTCCACCGCTGCTCGGCGCGGAAACCGGGCTGGGTCCCGACGCCCGGGCCACGACGCGCGACTGCGACCCCTGAGGAGCCGCCATCATGGAGAAGGCGGAGCCTGCCGCGGCGGCGGAAGCCAAGGCCATGGCCTGAGCCACCCTCGAGTTGGAGCCTTTGGTCATTCTCCTGAGTGGCAAAACGGGGAAGCACCTCCAGCACCTCGAACGGCCAAAATGGCTTGAGCCGCAGACAAGCTCAGACAAGTCCGGTCTGAGGGCTTCGTGCCTGCACATGACTTCAGACCTAGCAACCCTAGCCCCCGAACAAGGTTGACCGTCTGATTATACTATGGTTGCATAGTTATACATTTCTGTACCCAGCAAGGTTATAGGTGCCCCACCCTGCTCCTACGTCGAAGCAATACAGGCTCAAAACCTGCTGGGCTTCCAGGGCGCTTCAAAACCACCACCATCAGGAAACGCTGCATGCAACCCCATTGAAATCTTGCCGTCTCGTAACCAACCATATTAACCATATACCAGTATAAAGCACACTGCTGCCCTCACAGTAATCCTAAACCCTAAGCCTTACCAGCTCCACAACCCCGCACGCTTGGTTGCAGAAACTCAGGGACTGGATTACACCCTAAACTCTACCCACCTACCTACCTACCTGCCTACCTACCTCCCTCCCTCCCTGCCTGCCTGCCTGCCTGCCTGCCTGCCTGCCTACCCACCCACCCACCCCACCGACCGACTGACCGATCGACCGACCTGCCTGCCTGCCTGCCTGCCTACCTGCCTACCGACCGACCTACCTACCTACC